CCCCAAAACCCCAAAACCCCAAAACCCCATGAGATAAGTTTTACGCATAGTAAAAATTAAGAAATAGTATATTATATCACATTTTGTCTCCTAGTTCTAGAGTTTTAACGAATTCATCCTCTGTAAAAGCTAATAATTTCGCAGCTTCAATATGCATCTTTTATCTTTTAAGGATATCAATCAGCTTCATTTGTTTCTTGAAAGCTTGCATAAGTTCATTCCTTTGCCTTTCAAGCTTTCTGTTCTCCTCAAGCAATCTATCCATATCTTTCCTCAAAGTGTCACTCTTACTTACCTCGCTGGCTTTAGCCTCTTTTAGTTACAATTTATACTTCTCTAATTCTTCAATCGCTCTGTTTAGCTTAGCATCTTTAGTCCCTACTTCCTAGCCAGTCTTTTTCTTATCTCTTTCAATAGCATCTAGCTCCTTATTTTACTCTTACAAGCTTTTTTCAAGAGAATTTAGCTTTGTTTACAAGTCTTAGTTTTGCTGTTTAAGTTTTTACATTTGTATATTGCTCTGGTTCATCTTTTCATTAAACTTCTTCGCTTCCTCAGCTAGCTTTTTGTTCTAAGATTCTAGATCTTCGTGCTTACTTTCAACCTTATTTTAAGACTTGAGAGCATCCTCTAACTCAGCTTACAAAGCAGCAATCTTAGCTTTTTGGAAATTAATGATCTTTTCCTGTTCCTTTGACTTTTCGAGAACTTCTCGATATCTCTCTACTTCACTCAAAGCACTATTAAATTCATCATCATAATGATCAGAGACAGCAGGTCTATCGTTGGTTTTATCTCTTTAATAGGATTCTCTGAGTTATTTAGCCTCTTTAAGAAGGCTCGTAGCTGATTGTCTGAATTTAGGATCATCATTGTGAAATTATTTATTGAAATCATCATCATCTTCATTCTAATCTAAATGATCATCATCATCCTAAGCGAATGGATTTCTGCCATTGTTTATTGTTAATTTATTAGTTTTAGTATCAATTTAATATTCTTTCTCGTCATCTAAGATGTTATTCTTTCTCTGTTCTAATTGCTCATTTAGTTTTCGTAACTCTTCTTCTTTTTAAGCGAGATAATCAAGTTTGTTCATATTTTGAATAGAAGTATTTAAATTTAAAATTATATCATCAGGAATTATTAATTAAAGCAAATAATAACAAATATTTTAATGGCAGGAACTTAATATTCACTAATAATACTTCTTGGACTCGGCATCCTCCTTAATGCTGGTTTCTCCATGCTTCAATGTAAAATTTAGCATTTAGTTAATTTTGAGGATAATAGATAGAAGATATGCTTAGCTAAAACTTGATGAGGATACATTCCAAATGCCTTTAGATGTATATATATCATTTAAGTGCATTAATCATTTTTAATACAGGTGAAAGTAGAGACTTTAGTTGGATTCATGATTTCAGTTGTAGGATCTGTGCTATTATATGTCTCCAAAATGAGAGACATTTCATTCTCATCTCAATTTGCCAATAAGTAATAATAATGCAAGATGTGGTCTTGATTAATTTATAGAACTCTTGAGTCAACTCATTCAAAGAGAATATTCAGAAATGTATAAAGAACTAGAGGATTCTTATTTAACAGTTTAATAAAGCAGCAGAAATTAAAGGGATCTAACTCATTCATCCCATCACTATAGGAAGCTCTGGAGAAAAACCCAGGACTCAAAAATCTCATTTAATGATCATGCATAATTAACTAGCTCATTATTCATTTATCTTCGAATTTTTTCCTCTCACGGGGTTTTGGGGTTTTGGGG